ATGAGAAGAGGGAAAATAAAACATGTTGTGACCACTGGAAAGATCTGTGGAAAGAGGGATAGAGGAAGATGAGAGAAGATTCTTGACAGTCTTTTTGCATGGCATGGAGGTATGTCGGCACACGAATTGATACATGCTGCAGGAGATCGTAGATTATAGAGAGGCATGATCGCTCACGGTAGTCGGCAAGGCACCTGATGATGATGATGTTGAGGATAGGTCAGATCCGTGGCAAGCATTGCTTCAGAGGCCTGGCCAGTTACCATTCGTAAGAAGCACGATGTAAAGTCAAAAAACTAGGAGTTTTCTTCGAAGTCGGAGTGCATCTGCCTGAGTGGCAAGGAACTAAAAGTTCTGCTTACAAATAAGTAAGATCTATAAAACGTTTGTGGAAGCAAAGGCAAGTTTTGGAACAATACAGAAGTCCAGCAGTGAACGAACAAACATAACTTATTGCCGGAGTTTTACAACCGGTGAATGCGAAGAAGAAGAAGAAGAAGAGAAGAAGAGAAGAAGAAGAAGAAGAAGAAGAAGAAGAAGAAGAAGAAGAAGAAAGAGAAGAAGAAGAAAGAAGCAGAAGAAGAAGAAGAAGAAGAAGAAGAAGAAGAAGAGAGAAGAAGAGAAGAAGAAGAAGAAGAAGAAGAAGAAGAAGAAGAAGAAGAAGAAGAGAAAGAAGAAGAAGAAGAAGAAGAGAAGAAGAAGAGGAAAAAAGAAAAAAAAAGAGAGAAACGTCAGTCTGTACTTTTTCCTATACAACTCATCATCATCATGTAGCAGGTCCTTTGCAGAACGTCGCTCTCATCACAGTCTGCCTGAAAGAAACTCGGTCTCTCGCCGGTTCTCCCGCCTCATAAACTTTCACACCCAATGAGTCACTTATATTTTGTGCCCATCTTCGTGTCGGTCGGCCCCTGCCCCTCCTTCCTGGTACCATGCCTTCTGCTATATTTTTTCTAATCCATCGTGGCGCTTGATATGACCAAAATAATTCAGATTTCGAGAAAGAATGCTGTTTATTAGAAAATCTTTCTTCATGTTCAGATCTTTTAAGATGTCAATATTTCTCATCCTATACAACTGCTACGCAATATTACTTCATGTTCAGATCTTTTAAGATGTCAATATTTCTCATCCTATACAACTACTACGCAATATTACTTCATGTTCAGATCTTTTAAGATGTCAATATTTCTTATCCTATACAACTACTACGCAATATTACCAAAAATAATTTGTCATCATGAAAATAAAATATTGAAATAGTCACAAATCTTTTTTAATATGGTAATTTATTTTTTTCCTTTCAGTGATTCCTTATTATTATATTTATTTCTATTATTATTAGTTTATTAATAACTCTGTTGATCCTTTTTTTTTTTCTTAAATGGATTCTACTAAATGAAAAATGACGGGGAAACTGTAATTGCAATATGGCCAACAAATGATAAAAACCTGACACTGTCGTGCAGAAGTCTCCGTGCAGACGTAGGGAAACAATCCAAATATTCTTGTGCGATCTGACGAACTAGAGTCTTCAATTTTCCTGCACTAGTTCTGTTAAATATTATACAAACTAGCTTTATACAGATATATGATTATAATAACATCGTAATATTTTTGGAATCTCAAGCAGACATTTTATCGTTTGTACATTTTCTTTGACGAATCTCAACTGCCTGGGAGAGCAGCATTGCGAATCCAATTATAATGCATCAATGCTAATAGTATAGTTTATTGTTAATTTACACTTTTACTTTTTAAATCAAAGAAAGTGGCTACTTAAGTGAAACGTATAACGTCTTCGGTTGAATGAATACTGTATAAACGACTATAATATATTCTTGAACATTATTTTAGTGTGCCAGCGTTGACGTTTCCATGTAGGAGATATAAGAGAGATAGGGAGAGGTAACAGCCAACTAATGAATGACCAGTCTTCAACAAACAGTCCGATTCTAAACTTACTGTTGATTGTAGGATATTCGTTGAGCCGTGTTTAGCTTCTTGCTCAACTCACCGGCTGTCTGCCTGGGTATGTATACTACAATTATATTGTATATAGCAGGGAAAGGCCTTTTTAAAATGTGTTTTTCCCCCTGCGATTGTGTGTTTGTTGGGGGGGGGGGGGGGGGGGCGTGTAAGGGGTCTTCTGATTTTTTTTTTTTTGGTATATTGAAAATAGATTTGTGAAGTCTGATAAATTACATTCTTTGGTCATGTGATGAGAAGGAGAAAACTGGAGTACATCGTGACAGTAGGAAAGCGGAAGAGGAGGAGAGGCAGAGAGAGACCGAGAGAACAGATGCTGGACAGTTTGACATCATGGCATGGAAGATCACCTGTGTCAGAGTTGATTGAAAGTTCACGAGGCAGAAGGTTGTGGATAAACATGACTACCAACGCAACACGGCATGGACTCTAAGAAGAAGAAGAAGAAGAACAAAAAGTATGTGTGTTGGGGTGTATGTGCTTGCGTATTTCACAAATAATGAATAATTTTTCAAAGAATACGAAGTAACATTTTTGGGATTTGGCGTATAAAATAGTCAGCTTCTGAATTCTAAAGTACATTACCAGAAATCCTACCACTCAGTTGAATTATTTTGAGATCCCTGCCTTGGCATGCACACGAACTAAGCCAATACAGCTACGGTACTGAAGGTGATCCTTCTGTCCCATGGGATAAGCTTACAAGCGATACATTTTTAGATCTGAAGCAGTTCAAGGTTGAGGGCCAATGAGTTAACTCTTTCAGTTCCTTGGGGTGGGGTGGGGTTAGCCTCAGATGACGAAGGGGTAATAATACATGTGAAATGTCAGCTGTGCAACACAGTATAGCAGACCATACTAAAACAGCTATACATGATAAAGCGGACGTGGTTAGTGCCTTGTGGGAAAGCGTGTACAATTTGGAGGAGCAGATGGATCACCACAGTCTGGTGAGATTGATGCAGCGGATAGTGACGAGAGGTTCTGACAGATGCTCGAGGCTCAGAGGAAAGACAAGACGGACGTTTAATCAGAATGCTACTGGCACCATTAGTATCGGAACTCTTCGCTGGCTGCTGAAGATGGGGACGGAGCGCTTATGTGAATGCCCCGAGTGCTGTGATGTCCGTTCTTGAATCAAATCAAATCACTAAAACAGCTGCTGTACAACATACACTTACTATACATCAGAGTGACTCAGGAATGTGATGGAATAATATTAGCATACTGCTACAGCAAATAAGTGTTTAGTAAATAAATAATAATAACTAAACAGACAACATATTTGACGAAGTTATTAGATATTTTCCTACTTACCATCATGGTGCTCAAATAAAACTCGACAAAATTTGTTCATAACGAATTTAAAAATGTACTCGAACCACTTTGTAATATTTAAAAAAAAATATCTAAATGCAACCTGCCCCATTGTAAATTAAAAGGAAAAACATATAACCGGGACTGACTAGGACTGTTGCGTAGTTATTTAAAAACGTATCTTACGTTTCTTAGGACCAAAAGAGTTTAGTTAATAATTCTCAAATAGAAGGTTATATTGTTGTATCTCTAAGATAAAAGGTGGTCAGACAATGATATTAATTATAAAATTGCCGAGAAACTATTGGTAATTGTTTTGACAGTGAAAAAGTTCATGCAGGTGTTGCTTTCAAGTCGGGGTGGAAGGGGGGAGAGGGGAGGGGGCTGCTATAGTGCAGCGGCCAGACGCTCCCCTAGCAGAACGCAGGTCATGGGTTCGAATCTCCATCGAGGGGGATTGTTTAAAAAATTAGCTTAGTTCCCAGCCTGAGTTCAATGTAGAAAGTCATGGAAAGTAAATGCAACCATCGTTATGTTGAACACTTGACTCATCCAATGCTGATTATTCTATAAAAAAAATTAGTGTTGTCTGCTTGTTTCTCAACTTTTTTTTCTTCAGCTGGCGTATCTTTTTAATATATGACAAAACCTCTCCAACCCCCCCCCCCCCCCTTTTTAAAAACAATTTTTTTTAAAGTGATTAAAAAGAGGGGTATTAAAAGAAAAATCATAAGCACTGTTAACAGGAATATGGAGGAAAACATCCACATAAATCAAAGTGTTAAATAACATAATTAATGTCCTTGCTACTTTGTTTTAAAAATAGTCCGATTCTATACACTTTTATTTAGCACTGTGCTCCGGGAGGTTATTTTTATTTATAATTAAATAGGAAATACAACATAACAGATTATTACTGTGGCAAATAATCGTACATTTCAGAATTGCTTGATACCCCTCCCGTGATACCATAAGCATCTTGTCCTTAACAAAGAAAATAGAGGCTTTTGAGCTGAAATACTATAGAAAGCTTCTCAGAATACCATGGCCATAGAAGAGAATAAATACTGACATACAGGCCTATGTGTTATAGACGACAATGGTATGTATATATGTAATTCAAAATACAAATAAGAATAAACCATAATATAAAACTTGACCGAAATTAAACAAAACTTACTGTAAAATGGAAACTAATGTCTATTTTTGCATACTTCCATTTTCTTTATATTTGTGAAGTTTTCTCCTATTTTTTTTTCATCGGAAAGTCTTTGATCAGATCCTCAAAAGTAATCGTATCTAACACCTCTTCTCACATTTTCTTAAAAACTATACTTCAGCTGAGAAATTAACAGCTCAGCACAAAAGGCTACTGAACATTTCTGTGCCCCTTTACTTTATGATGCCCTAATTATGTGCTTAGTGATGAGTATTTTAGCCCTGTCCCCAATTCCCCTTTTCCCTACAACTTCCTTGTGACCCCCCCCCCCCCACCCCACTTTTTTTTCTCCAGGTTTAAAACCACTAGGTTGCTATCATTTGCCTGTAAGGGTCCTTTTCTTTACAATCTTTACTGTTTCTTTCAGGTGCTGATGAGACCACAGCAAGACTTCTATTCAAACAGTCGGCCAGGTTCTCAACAGCCATCGTCCTCATAGTATGAATTAACCCCTTAGTAATATTCTGTGGTCATCATGGCTCATAAGGAGGCTCAAAAGGAAGAGGCTGATAAGGATGCTGCCTGCAGCAGTGCCTGGTTTGACTGGGCATCCAAAGGTGAAGATTCACCCTATCCCCCTGTATATGGAGGCCTGGAATGCAATGACTTTCTAGGCATTTCACAGCAATGCTGGGAGAGTGTGGCTACCGCTGTGTTAGCCCTGCTGGCATTGTTGTATGCCTACCCTCGTTTAAGGCTACCAGGAGCATGTTCTTGTGGTTATCAAAGGCAGGAGCCAGCGGGTAAAGGGATTCTTCTGCTGTTGCTGTGTTTAGCGTTTGGAATAGAAGTTGGAGTCAAACTGGCTACCCGTCGAATGTTCTGGATTGGTAAACCTGGCCATTTGGCTACAATGTTGCAGGTAGGCCAGGGTTTTAACACATACACACACACACCCAGAGAGAGAGAGAGAGAGAGAGAGAGAGAGAAAGGGAGAGGGAATAATAGAGAGTGATAGAGAAGATACAGAGGGGAGAGAGAATGAGAGACAAGGGAGAGAGATTGAGTGAGGAACCAGAAGAGGGTTGTGGGGGTTGCCGGGAGGTGGGGGTGGGGGGGGGGGGAGAAGTGGGAGAGTTACATGTGTTTTTGTGTGAAGTATGAAAAAGTTTGATGGTGGAGATCAAATGATAAAGATGGACAAAGAGATAGAGAAAATAAGGAAAAGAAAGAAGTATGAAAGTTGCTATAAGTATGTGTGTGAGAAATGAGAAAGCTGATCAACTTGCAGGAGAAGGTGTGACAAAAGTGCAGCCGGATGTACCAGTCACAAGCCACCAAAAGAAAAGAATCATTAAATCGATCAGGAAACCACCAGCCCCCAGCACAAGACGACTATCTTATGATTGGACAGATCAAAACAAGTCATTATCCTCCGTCTCAGAACAGGGCACAACCGATTACGTAGCCACATGTACACAAAATTCAAGATGGGCGTGTCAGCCATGTGCACTTGTGGAGAGGTGCCCCAGACAGCAGTGCATGTACTCCAGGACTGCACCGAATTTGACACATTAAGACAAACCTTTTGGCCAAAGGGAACAACAGGGGAACGTAAACTCTATGGACCACTGAATGAATTAACAACAACAGTGAAATTTATACAAGACACACAATTGCTGATATAGACCACTTATTTCAGGAGAACGAAAGAAGAAGAAGTATGTGTATGTGTGTGTGTGTGAGAGAGAGAGAAAGAGAGGAAAGAGGTATGAAAGTATGTGACATAGGGAGGATAAGAAGTAAAGAAGTGTGAGAAAGTGAAAGAGAGATGTGTACACATATGTGAATGTGAGTGTTTGTGTATCTGAGAAGTATAAACGTGTGTATCGGAAGGGAAAGAAGAGAATAATAGTCTGTGAAACATTGAGAGAGAAAAAGGAAAGTGTGTGTGTGAGATAGAGAAAGATTGATAAGTAAAAAAAAAATTTGTACACATACAGCATCTGATAAGGTGCTTCAGGACAGTTGCCAATTTAACCATATGAGACAGCGAGCTTCAGGTAACCTCAGACAGTTCAACCACTGTCTTACAGCCCCTTCCTTTTTGTCATCCTGAACATAGTTTCTAGATACTGTTCCTTTGACTCGAAAATCTTGCGGTCAAGACTGCAGGACTGTTTTGTACCGGGCCTTCCCGACTTACTGCCGGGTTCCGTTCCAAATAACAAGTGATGCCGAACTGTTCGTAAGTCCGATGTATATTTTTTCACTACTGTGTTTTCATTCACACAGGTTATGTTGTTTGTTTGCATTCATCGGCTGTAAATACCGGAGGAAAAATCTGGTTGTTCATCCATTTCTGGACTTTCTCCTTATTCCAGGACCTAAATTTTGCGTGTGCATCCGTTTGATAGATCTTGCTTACTTTATGCAGACTGTTTGTTCCTTGCCTCTCAGGCTGATACACTCCGACTTTGAAGAAAGCCCATAATTAGTTAATTTTTTATGACATGCTTGTTTGGGAGGCAGTGGGTCTATTTTTGTTTCCCCCAGAATTTAATCCAGGAACCTATACTGGGGGGAAGGGGGGGGGGGGGGGGTAAAAATTGTACGGAAAACAAACATTCAATCTGTGTGTGTATAATTACTGTGCATATCTCTATATACTTTGTGTACATGGGAAACCAACACCCACACGCACACACAAAAACTATATTTTATTTTGGTGAGGAGGCGGCGGTCGGCACGCTCAACTGTTGGCAGAAAAGATATATAACTGAACGAAAAGTATATCAGCGAGCCTCACAAGATAACAAACACAAGCGAAATGTGAGCGTTGCGGCTATGGAGCCTTCTTCAGCACATACGTAGATTAGACAATACTACACAAATACACAATATCACTTATCTCGTGGCAGCCAGGTCGATGTCAGGACATATGTTTACAAAGAAAGAAGGGCCTGATAATAATGCTAAACTGCACATAATTAGAGATTGGCAGCAGCCTGCTTATGATGTGGGGGAGAGGAGTGGGGGCTGTGCTATTGTCCCCAGGGTCTGGTACTGATGCACAAATGTATTTCTAATAATCCTTTGTCTACATGCTCTTGTCATTTTGGTTTCAGATCTTTATCCTGGCAGCCCCACCAAACAGGATCGTAACAGCTGCCTTCAGATTACAGATGCATATGCTAGTTGGTATCCCACTTGTTGTGTTCTTCCCTATCACCAGCATGCATTTGGTTAGTGATTCAACTGTGTCATCTTCTTTTTGTTAACGTTCACCAGCAAGCAGCTCTAAACCTCGGCTGAAAGTTCTACTCGTTCGACTGCTTCCCGACTTTGGTCTTAATCCAGAACTTTCCCCGTGTGGGTTTCGGGGTCCCAATGTTAGAAAAACACCTTTTTTCTTCTCTGCCGCCAGCGGCGGTAAACTCCGGTGGAAAGTTCTGCTTGTTCGTCTGCTCCCGGACTTTGATTTTGACCAAGAACTTGAGTTTTTGCTTGTACATACCTCTTACAGATCTGGTTTATTTGTACGCACTGTTGGTTCACCGACTTTCAAGGCAGATTCACTCAGACTTTTAAGGAAACATCCCTAATTAGTTGCTTCCTAGAACAAGCTTGAGTAAATAAATAATTAAAAGGGAGGGGGTTAGGAATGTGGGTATTTTTGTTTTCCAAAATGGAGTCTCACAACCAACGCTGGGAAGCTGGGTCTAAAAATATCTACATGTCTGATCTCGTCCTTGTTTGTGATATGGTACTTTCTAACTACCCGGTGCACTAAATATAGCTGTGTTATACAGGTAAAAAAAAGGTTTCTGCAATTTTCTTCTGTGTAATTCTCATCTAAACAGTTTCTCTTTGAGTCTCTTGGTGTTAATCCATCGGTATGCAAACCTATAGGCGACAGAGTTTAAAAACAAGTGATTTACTTGTTCGGTAAAAAGTAAATAATACTTTAGCTGGTCTATTCAGAAGTTTTTCTGCCATAGAGCAACGGATTATTTATTGTTGTGAAATTGAAATAAAAATACGTTGCTTTTTTATGACAGTTGAGATAGAAATAGTTAATGAAACAGAAAAGTAGGACGGAAAGAGTAAAAGGTTGTGTACTATGTAAAGACTAGCCAGTGAACATATTGTGAGATTCCTGGCACTAAAAGAGTTTGTGTTTTATTTAAAAAAACCTAAGCTCACTCAATCAATAGGGTGGCATCTCCACACCAAAGGTTGGCTACAATGGTTTCCAGCACTCCTTGGCTCTTGTCTTGGCATTACCCTCTGTCACACTGCTGTTCGTCCATCTCTTGATCTTGTCCTGTCACTTATTTCATTGTCTACTTTTTGCTTTCTTGCCTTAAAAGTTTCCTTCCTGTATAGTTAAAAAAAAATTGTATGTCTTTTTATGTGAACGTAAGTTAAATGACAATTTTCAGGCCATTGGCACATTAGGTATGTAGTACTAGATGTCTGTAAATTATGTAGACAGACTGGCACTCGATCAGTATGATTGTCATCATCAGGGCAACCCTCATTACGACTCCAAGATATTTCCTTATACATATTTCAGGCTGGTTCATTTACGGAAAATTCAAATTCAAGATCTTTGGGGCAGCACACAAGCGTCCAGCCACTGAACTAATGTGGCTATCAGATATATGCATGTAGTGATAGTAATCCTTGACACCCTCCCCCTCCCTTCCCCCAAGGAAAAAACATCCAGTGACAGTAACTGTCAAGGAATTATTATTTTGTTTAAGACATACTAGTTACAGTAACTGTCAAGGAATTGTTATTTTGTTTTGAGACAAACTAGTTACAGTAACTGTCAAGGAATTGTTATTTTGTTTAAGACATACTAGTGACAGTAACTGTCAAGGAATTGTTATTTTGTTTAAGACATACTAGTTACAGTAACTATTATATAATTACTGTTTAATTTCTCAGTCAGTACCATTTACAGTAATTGTCATTGAAGAAAAAGAAGAACGACAAGAAAAGGTTAAAGAAGAAGGAGACGACAACAATGAAGAAAGTGAAGACACAGAAGAAAAGAAGAAGCGGGAAGAAGAAGAAGAAGAAGAAGAAGAAGAAGAAGAAGAAGAAGAAGAAGAAGAAGAAGAAGAATAAGAAGAAGAAGAAGAATAAGAAGAAGAAGAATAAGAAGAAGAAGAAGAAGAAAAAGAAGAAGAAGAAGACTAAGAAGAACAAAAACAAGCAGAATCACAATTATTTCAGTTTGTTAAGTCCAAAAGATGTATTGCTTCAAAGTTAAAAACCATTGAAGTTATAATAATGACTATCTAGGATAGAGAAAGTCAAAAATACCTTGTCTTCAAAACCAGTTTCTGCTGACTTTCATGGGGACTAATAACAAACGATATTGCTTAAACTCAACACTCCGAAGAAAGACACGATAAAAAAAAAATGAAACTGCTGTATTGGAAATTTGTGCTCACTGTCAAAGATGGGAATGGGGTGTTTATGGGATGTCCCCAATGCTGTGATATCAGTTCATGTGGTATCACATAGATTCTTTAGGTTTTCAGTAAAGCGTTGACCCCCAATCAGCTTTCACCAAGCACTCCGCAGGCTAGTTAAAAATGTTGCAGCAATATCTTTAGTTATAGGATTTTGCCATTTTTATGCCTGGCTTCTCCACAGCCGCTTATCTGAACATTATGAGTGTCAGTGTACAGAGCACTGTGGAAGTTGGGGGTGTTGAGTTGTTGATTGATTGTCTTATTTCTTTATTCATTCATGTGTTAATGTAATCTATTCTCCCCCTACAGTCTCTGTTTGAAAGTGGGATAAACTTTATTCAACACTTGTTGATGTTGGGAATTACATTTTATCTAATGCACTATGGTGGTAAGATTTGTCAGCTGTTTTCCTTTGTGTGTGTGTGTGTTTGTGTGTGTGTGTGTGTGTGTGTGTGTGTGTGTGTGTGTGTGTGTGAGCACAAGATAATATTTACAAGTCTGAGGCCACTGATAAAATTACAGTTGGCTGAACATATACTAAAAACGTTATTTGAAAAGAACAACAAATCCATAGGAACTTGTGTGTGTGTGTGTGTGTGGCATTCCTAGTCCAGGAAGAAAAGTATTCGACAGTGTCGATAGGCAAGTTTTATGGGAAGTAAGAGCTCAAAATGGAGTAAGCAAACACTCAACTAGAGTGTATATAGGGATCGTAGAAGAGTAGTTAGAATAAATAGGGAAACATTGAAACCAGTGTTTCCTAAAATGAGCGCAGCTGGGAAGCATTGAATGAAAACTAAACAAACAGCAGCAGTAGTGAGTGAGAGAGAGAGAGAGAGAGAGAGAGAGAGAGAGAGAGAGAGAGAGAGAGAGAGAGGAGAAAAAGAGAAAGAAAGAGAGAGAGAGAAAGGAGAGAGAGACAGAGAGAGAAAGGAGAGAGAGACAGAGAGAGAAAGGAGAGAGAGAGAGAAAAAGGAGAGAGAGAAAGAGAGAAAGGAGAGAGAGAGAGCAGTCTGATCAACTATTGGTACATTTCTCAGTGTAACTTAACAGATGAAAATCAAGCAACAATTGCTTAATTTTCAAAACACACAAAGAAATTATATTACAACCAATCAGATTCATACTTATGATTAGAAGAATGCGTTAAAATTTAGTTGTGTAATAATATTCCCATACTTCGACAATGCGCTGAAAGATAGCCTGAGCTGAAACTTCTACAAGGACAACATCCTCATCATCATGTAGCAGGTTCTTTGCAGAACGTCGCTCTCATCACAGTTTGCCTGAAGGAAACTCGGTCTCTCGCCAATTCTCCCGCCTCATGCACTTTCACACTCAAGGAGTCACTTTTATCCTGTGCCCATCTTCGTGTCGGCCAGCCCCTGCACCTTCTTCCTGGTACAATGCCTTCTGCTATATTTTTTTTTTCCAATCCGTCGTGGCGCTTGATATGAACAAAATATTTCAGCTTCCGAGACAGGATGCTGTTTATTAGCCAATCTTCCTTGATGTTTAGATCTTTTAAGATGTCAATATTTCTCATCTTATTTGTCCGATATTCTGAGAATCTTTCTATAGCATTTCAGCTCAAAAGCCCCTATTCTCTTTCTTAAGGACTGAGGGGTAGTCCACGACTCACATCCGTATGTAGTCAAAGGGAAGATGCATGCTCTCAAAATTCTAATTTTTATATACTTGCAGTAACCATAGACTTTTAAGGCTGTTTAATCTTTACAAGGACAACATGTATATTAAAAAAGATACTTTCCGCAGCAACGATTTTCTTCTTCTTCTTCTTCTTCTTCTTCTTCTTCTTCTTCTTCTTCTTCTTCTTCTTCTTCTTCTTCTATCTTCGACTATTTACCTCAGGCTAGGGTTTGGTTAGGGTGGGAAAAGAGGGGGGGATGTAAGGATCGTTTATGAGCTTTTTCCCCAATGCATTGTACAAGCTGGTGTTTATTTCTGTTAAGTTGCCTTCTTGTAATGAGCCCTGCACGCTCCAGTTCGATGTTCTTTCACTAGTCTTCTTGTAATGAGCACTGCACGCCCCAGTTCAATGTTCGTTCACTAGCCCTTTTGTAGTGAGCACTGCTCGCCTAAGTTCGATGTAGGTTCACCAGTTTTCTTGTTGGGAGCACTGCTCGAACCAGTTCATTGCTGGTTCACCAATTTTATTGAAGTGAGCCTTGCTCGTAATAGTTCGCTGTTGGCTCACCAGTCTTCTTGTGGTGAGCATTGATCGCCACAGTTCATTGCCGTTTCGCTAGTCTTCTTGTAGTAAGCACTGCTCGCTCCATTTCGATGTTCGTTCACCAATCTTCTTGTAGTGAGCACCGCTCGCCCCAGTGTGATATTCGTTCACCAGTCTTCTTGCAGTGAGCACTGCTCGCCCCAGTTTGATGTTTCTTCACCAGTCTTCGTGATGAGCACTGCCCGCCCCAGTTCATTGCTGGTTGACCGGTCTTCTTATATTAAGCATTGCTCGTCCCAGTTCATTGCCAGTTCACCAGTCTTCATGTAGTGAGCACGAATTGCCCCAGTTCGATGTTTACAGTTTAACTGAAGTGTGTAACGTGTATATAGGGATCGTAGAAGAGTAGTTAGAATAAATAGGGGAACATTGAAACCAATGTTTCCCAAAAATGAGCGTAGCTGGGAAGCATTGAATGAAAACAAAACGTACAGCAGCTGTAGTGAGTGAGTGAGTGAGTGAGAGAGAGAGAGAGAGAGAGAGAGAGAGAGAGAGGAGAGAAAGAGAAAGAAAGAGAGAGAAACGACAGAGAGAAAGAGAGAGAGAAAGGAGAGATAGAGAAAGGACAGAGAGAGAGAAAGAGCAGTCTGAACAACTGTTGGTACATTTCTCAGTGTAACGTAACAGATGAAAATAAAGCAACAATTGCTAAATTTTTTTTAAACACACAAAGAAATTATATTACAACCAATCAGATTCAGACTTATATTTAAAAGAATGCGTTACAATTTAGTTGTGTAATAATATTCCCATACTTAGACAATGCGCTGAAAGATAGCCTGAGCTGAAACTTCTACAAGGACAACATCATCATCATCATGTAGCAGGTTCTTTGCAGAACGTCGCTCTCATCACAGTTTTCCTGAAGGAAACTCGGTCTCTCGCCAATTCTCCCCCATGTACTTTCACACTCAAGTAGTCACTTTTATCCTGTGCCCATCTTCGTGTCGGCCAGCTCCTGCACCTTCTTCCTAGTACAATGCCTTCTGCTATATTTTTTTTTGCACTCCGTCGTGGCGCTTGATATGACCAAAATATTTCAGCTTCCGAGACAGGATGCTGTTTATTAGCCAATCTTCCTTGATGTTTAGATCTTTTAAGATGTCAATATTTCTCATCTTTTTTGTCCAAGATATTCTGAGAATCTTTCTATAGCATTTCAGCTCAAACGCCCCTATTCTCTTTCTTAGGGACTGGGAGATAGATAGTCCTTGACTCACATCCGTATGTAGCCACAGTGAAGATGCATGCTCTCAAAATTCTAATTCTTATCTACTTGCTTGTGCTTAACTATAGACTTTTAAGGCTGTTCAATCTTTACAAGGACAACATGTATATTAAAAAAGATACTTTCCGCAGCAACGATTTTCTTCTTCTTCTTCTTCTTCTTCTTCTTCTTCTTCTTCTTCTTCTTCTTCTTCTTCTTCTTCTTCTTCTTCTTCTTCTTCTTCTTCTTCTTCTTCTTCTTCTTCTTCTTATCTTAGACCATATACCACAGCTAGGTGTTGGGTTTTATGTGGGGAGGGGGGGGGGAAGGGGAATGTAAGGATCGTTTATGAGCTTTTTCCCCAATGCATAGTACAAGCTGGTGTTTATTTCTGTTAGGTTGCCTTCTTGTAATGAGCCCTGCACGCTCCAGTTCGATGTTCTTTCACTAGTCTTCTTGTAATGAGCACTGCACGCCCCAGTTCAATGTTCGTTCACTAGCCCTTTTGTAGTGAGCACTGCTCGCCTAAGTTCGATATAGGTTCACCAGTCTTCTTGTAGTGAGCACTGCTCGCTACAGTTCATTGCTGGTTTACCAGTCTTCCTGTAGTGAGCACTGCTCGCCCAAGTTCGATGTTCGTTCACCTGTCTTCTTATAGTGAGCACTGCTGGCCCCATTTCGATGTTCGTTTACCAACCTTTTTGTAGTGAGCAACTTCTCGCCCAAGTTCGGTGTTGGTTGACCAGTCTTCTTGTAGTGAGCATTGCTCGCCCTAGTTCGATGTTCGTTCACCAGTTTTCGTGTAGTGAGCACTGCTCGCCCCAGTTCATTGGTGGTTTACCAGCCTTCTTGTATTGAGCATTGCTCTTCTTAGTTCATTGCTGGTTCACCGGTCTTCTTGTGGTGAGCACTGCTCGCTCCAGTTAGATGTGGTTTACCAGTCCTCTTGTAGTGAGTACTGCTCGCTCCAGTTCAATGTTCATTTACCAGCCTTTTTGTAGTGAGCAGGGCTCGCTCCAGTTCATTGCTGGTTTATCAGCCTTCTTGTAGTAAACAATGCGGGCGCCAGTTCGATGTTTGTTCACCGGCCTTCTTTAGTGAGCACTGCTCGTCCCAGTTCAGTGCAAGCCTCAAAGACACAGAAGGAGATGACAGATCCAAACCTGCACAATGAGAGGACACGACCTAGCCAGCCAGATAGACACACATATTATGGCGGCCAAAAACACACCCTAACAGGGCCTCAGCCACATGTAAATTGCGAACTTCTGCTGCCAAAGCCGAAATTATCTCCTACGCCGCTAAGCAGTAGAGTCCTAGCCATCTAGTTTAGCCCCAATATACTCTCGGCGGTGACGGTAGTCGCTGGAAGTCCGCAATTTAAGTCGCCGGAAGTGCGCAATGTACATGTGACTGAGGCCCTGTTAGGGTGTATTTTTGGCCGCCATAATATGTGCCCGTTATTCTGAGGATAGCCATTCACGCAGTCAGCAGTGGGTTTCGATCGCAGTACGTTAGAACTCAGGAGGCAGGAAGCACGAGCAAAGTACACCGATTTTGTGCTTGCCTGCACTTATGGTTGAATGTATGTATGTATATAGGTTGTACCCCACCAGCACATAACACAAAGCGAGAAAGACCCATGACACAAGGTGCTACCTTGCCGATGAGGATCGCCCGTTGAGAGGTCCCAGAAACCCCGTTCAGTCGTTAGGCTATATCTATGGTCCGGGTATATTTTAGGGCCCCCGGCAAAACCCAGGGTGTGGCTATAAAAAACGAAAAGTGGCATCCCACATGGGGGCGGCATGGTTGAATAATTATGGTTGAATGATAAACCTAGTTAAAACATCTTTTAAAAATTAACGTATTTACATGCTGAACAAACTGTGCATACAGTAACATGTGATATTATTTCGGGAAATGCTGTGTGGTCCCGAGGCATGGGATTTTTTCACATAGATGCTAACAGCGGGGAATGGAGAGTCAGAACAACATAACACATAATTTTTTATATGTGCAACAGTAAACCTCAAGGGCTCAGAATGCTAAAGAAGAAGATTACTAATTCTGTGCTACTTCATGTGAAGTAAAAGTTCAGAGTACATTTGACATTATAAATGTGCGTTTTTATAGACATATTTTATACACTATACACTATTCGTATTCGCATTCAGCCGAATAGTTGGTCCCGCTATTCGTATTCAGCCGAATAGTGAAAATCACTATTCGGTACAACCCTAATACACACACACACACACACACACACACACACATATACGCTGCACTACACTTTTCTGATCTACACATGATTCCAGTTTTATTAAAGGAACTGACTATATAATTCACTCACACACACAAACACACACAAACACAGAAACAAACACACACACACACACACATATATATATATATATATATATATATATATATATATATATATATATATATATATATATATATGTGTGTGTGTGTGTGTGTGTAAACTGGAATCGAATATAGATAAGCAATGTGAAAAGTAAAAGTAAAGGTCCCTTTTCCATGCCTTAAGTCGTACTGGAAATATAACGTTAGACCTATATTTTTATAGACCAATCAGCACTTGATGGGTGATGTGGCCGCCTTTACTTCCCGGGACTGCGCCGGGTACCCACTCAAGGCTGGGTCGACCTGAGAGTCAAGGTTATTGTTACAAAAAAATTTTGGTTTGTTGGCGTTTATATTATTTTATAGCTGTTAATTTGCAGATTGATTTTTTTTCCTTCACAAGGCATGTATGTTATTTCTGTATGTGCTAATGTTTCAGATCCGTACATTCCAGAGAGTCTAGGAGACTTCAGCTGGGCATTCATGGCCTATGTGTTTCTATTCGTGTACCATTTCCTGCCTCTCCAGTTGCTGGCTTATGTATGTATCTTCATGTGTTTATTGGTTTTGTAAACTTAGATCGACTCGATGGGTTTGCAGAATTAAGCACTGACAGCACTTTTGTTCTTAGCTTTCTTTTGTCGACCCACTGATACCAGCTTGTAACCCTGTGTCGTAGTTTTTTTGTATTTGTCTTGCGCTTCTCGGGTGGCTTGGGTGTAATGGATTTGTTCATCTGTTTGCATGTTTCTTCTACACCATATATTTATATATTTCTTGGTCTTCCTCTGCCTTTCTCCCTGATGTTTCTGCTATTGTTGGTGAACGTAAAATTTACCCTGTAAAACGACAAACAGCCAAGAAATGCTGAGGTTGGTTTGGAATGTCTGCTAAAGCAGGCATGTCAAACTAAAGGTGCCCCGAAGGCCACATGGGACAGCATTTGTGTTGTCACGAGGGCCACACATGACAACAGGTTGATGTATCCTAATGTATTCTTACGCCTATGTATCATTGGTGGGGGGACAAAATGTGTACTGGCAGTGGGCTGCATGCCCGGCATGACTGCTGTAAAGGATATGTAATTAACTAAACACTTTTGTTAGTTCGTTGTTAACGAATGGTTAAAAGTGGGGAGGATTGATTTCAATACACCAGGTTTGATCCCATAAAAATAATAATATGAACTCCACGACTGGAGAATGCACAGCAGGAGTCTACCGGTCTTCAGTAGGCGCCCCCCCCCCCCCTTTTTTTCAGCAATTGTTTTCAGCCCGTTTTAACACCCTAGACAATCTCGGGGGTGGGGTGGGGGAGGGGGAGGGGGGGGGGGAATTCTCCTGCTGTGCTTATCGGACAAGACATTATGGTGATTTGCAACAGATACAACCCTTATGGTGATACATATCGTCTTTGCGGTAGAAAATTAAGCGCCTACCTGGACGACTAGAGTATCATAGGGGCGATTGGTTCATAGAACAGAGGTTAATCGAACAATCTTTGGCAGTTGACAGTTGCACGGGCAGACGTTGATTGGGCAATTTAGCTTTAGGGATTTAACAATTGTTTTCCACTAGGGGCTCCGACCAATCTACCGAGGCCTGTCCCCCATGTCCTTCCATTGTGTCCGCTTACGCCCATTTCCTCACAAGCGAAGTTGATTCAGTACATTGTATGTGGAGGTGGAGATTAGCCGTCTTGCGCCTATCTTGACCGCGAAGAGTTTTACTGCGTACCCTTTAATCTCCCTCAGATTGGCCACCAGATCGCTGTACTTCTCGAGATTCTACACGTGGTTGTCTTCGATTCGCAACTTGTACGGCACGCTGAGCTCTGTCAGGATGAGCTGGCGTTTATCCGCTGAGTGTAGCACCATGTCTGGTCCAGACCACTTTTTCGGATTCTTCTTTTTGTCAAAATCTGCTTGTGCCGCTAGGCGTCGCAGTCTATCAGATGATCGGCAATCGAGCCAGGGCGCGCTCAGTCGCTTTATATGCGGTGATGTTATGAAGTCTCAAGTTGTCAGTGACTCCTTCAATCCATCTTCTTCTTGGTCTTCCCCTGCCTCTTGGTGTTTCGATTTTCATGTTGTATGCTCTTGATGCTGGCATCGTTGGTTCCATTCTCATTAGGTGACCAAACCATTTCATTCTTTGCTTCTCAATAAATTTAACGATGGGTATGGTTCCAATAGTTCTTGTAATCACATCGTTTCTCACTCGATCTCTTCTGGTTTTATTCGCAGCCATTCTCAAGCATCTCATTTCACAGGTGGTTAGTCTTCTCTCCTGTTCTTTTGTATTAATTCGGGGTATTTCTCAAAACCAGAAAAGTCAACTTCCAGTTGCTAGTCCTTCGCACAGTCGAGTATGGATGGAGCGTATGCGACTTTGTTGAATGTACTTTTAGAAATCTGCCTAGCTATGAGGAAGAGCATGGGGGTGACTTTATGACTGATCTTCGCGTTGGTCCTCATCATGGCTTTGTCCATAATATAGGCCAACTCTTTTAGGACCTTATTGTGGCGCCATGTGTATCGTCCCAGACCTAGGGCTTTTCTGCAGGCGGACAATACGTACTCAAGCGCCTGCTTAGCTCAGCATGAGGGACATGTCGGGTCGTTGGGGGCACACCATTTGACCGGGTTAATAGCACGTGGTCTTTCTAGGTAGAATAGCTGGCCACCTGCCAAGATCGTCCAAAAAAAAAAAATGCTCTCGTGATCATTTCCTGCAGTCTCCGTCAAATGTGCTCCATTGAACCGAATGGCGCAGCCGTCAAGTGAACCAACGAACTTCAGAGCGCCAGGCATGATGGTGATAAACGGTTTAATGTTTTGTCTTCCAATCATCATCATGTTGCAGGTCCTTTGCAGAAGGTCGCTCTCATCACGGTCTGCCTGAAACGCAGTCTCTCGCCAGCTCTCCCGCCTCGTGTACTTTCACATTCAAGGAGTCACTTATATCATGTGCCCATCTTCGCACTGACAGGCCCCTCACTTCATTCCTGAAACCGTGCATTCTGCTACTACTCTTTTCACTCCACCGTGGCGCTTGATATGGTCAAAATATTTTAGTTCCCGAGACAAGATGTTGTTTACTAGCCAAGCTTCCCTGATGTTCAGATCTTTTAGGACGTCAGTATTTCTTCTCTTCCTGTTCCATGGTATTCTGAATCTGTATATATAATTTCACCTCAAAAACCTGTATTTTTATCCATAATGACTGTGTGATAGTCCATGACTCACAGCCGTATGCTGCTACAGAGAAGGTGCATGCTCTCAAAACTTTGACTGTGATTTGCTTGTGGGTGGTGATGGACGAAACATCTGCAAACCAATTTCTGTTTTGCCAGTTAGATTGTTAGCGCTCTGTTATATTACCTTATTCAGCTCCATTAAATGTTTACAGCATATGGTATAAAAGTAGTCAAAGTAAAGGAGCCCTTTCCACATCTTCAAACGCGCTGGGCACATAGGGCTAGACGTAAATTGTATAGACCAATCAGCAGTAGGTGGATGATATGGTCATGCCGGTCGCCTTTACTTTCCAGCATATGGTGTAAGGGCTGCCATAACCAAAGTCTAAATAGCATGAGTGAATTACCTTTACCTGCTCCGTGAGAGGTGGTCAGTAGGAGAAAGCGAGGGATTGCTAAGTAAGGTGTTGCTTTGCGTCATACGACAGCTATGAAAGCCTTCCTGTATCACCTCAAAATGTCATGGTCAGATTAATGGGAAAAGAGTAAAGGAAAGGTACAAATATACATACCTGGATGGCTTAGCCAAATGGAGAGGGCAAAACAAGAGCGCTGAACTGATCCGTGATTCTGGTGATCGTGGGTGATGGCGAAACGTTATCGGCAAGGCACATGATGATGATGGTGATGACTATGATGATGATGATGAATGGTAATTGTAGAGCATCACGCGTGTTTCTCTTTTTCTGCCAGGTTTCTCAAGTAAACCTAAACAACATTTTGTATCCAGATTCATTAGAAGGAAACCAAAGCAAATTCTATCGCCTGATGGTTTTCTGTCATCAGCTAATATTAATCCCAACCTTTGGCAAACTGCTGGTGATAATTGCCAACACATTTAGGATCCTTCCATGCAGTAATCCGCTAGATGCTTCAGAGGAGTGCACAACTTGCTGCAAGCTAAAACTTCACTGCAAATGCAGTTGCTGCTCAGCAGACACTTGGAAGCGAGGCTCAGCTTCAGGAAGCGGTGACGATTGCAACACGGATGAAGACAGCGGTTGTGTCCACTCCTGGAGCATGTTAAACAAGGGCTGCAGAAGGTGTTCTTCAAGGAACACGCGTAGCACTTACTGCAGCGGCTACCGGCCTTCGTGTCACAGGTTCTGTCCCCAGAGAAGTTGCATGAATGATCACAAGGAGTTCACATGGGGCTGCAGTTTGGACAGTGTTCCTACCAGATGCATTGTTAACGGTAAGCTGGTTGACGGAGTGAAGATGGACGAAGCATCGTGCAAACGAAGCAGTGGAGATAAATCCAGTAACACCCAAAGAAAATCACCACCGCCGGGGAATGGCAAGAGCTCTGTATGCCGCAGTTTTCTTTTGGATGACATGCTAGATTCCAGCCCTGAGGGGTCAGTAGCCAGAACTGTGCCTGCTTCAGAACACGACCCATCACGCAGTTATGTAAAGTCACATTAACTCTTTCAATCAGAGTCGGCGCAGCATTTATTTGAGGATTACTAAATTCGTAATCATCATACAGAGATAGCAGGCAAACAGGAGAGCATCTAGCTAGTACACTAATCTGGTTGCTCCTTTGCAATACAAGGCCTGTGTAATTAGATCATCTAATAGATTTAGGCTGTGGTCTTCAGTGTTGAAATACGAAACGACATCACAGCACTGTGGAGATTCCCATAAGCTCCCTGTCTCCGCCTTCAACAGCAAGCGCGGAGTTCTAGTTCCAGTGACACCAGTAACAGTCTGTACATTTGTCTCGCTTTTACCTTGCTTGTTGGCCAGATCCCGATCTAAATTCCTTAACACCATTTTCTGAATAATTTATTCAAATAAATATATATAAACAACAGATTGCACACTTCATGGTCTGGTTCATTTTGTTATATCCCAGAAAGTACTTTTGGGGAAATAAAAAACATTAATGTTAGACAAAGGAAACAAAAAAATATTTTTTTTTACTGTTTGTGTTATGCGGAAAGATGCTGCCTGGTTGTGATATGTTTTTGCGCCCCTGCCATCACAACTTCAAGACCCAGCAGAACACAATATGCGGAAGGACCCTTTTTTGGTGATCCAGGAAATCATTTGGTTGGATAGACCCTGTTTCTTCTAACAACCCTGCCGTATAAGGTCACTTAGGTTTTTTTTTTTTCCTTCTGAAATCAGAGGTTTTTCGCCGAAAAGTGGGGATAACGCAAAATAAACTTTTAAAGGTGAATGCGCCCGGCTCTCTGACGTAGTTGGCTAAACCGGATTGGGCGGTGACCGGGTGACGAACTCCTTGTGGTTCGGGTTCACTCTAGGGGGTAGGCAGAAAAGCCACATTTCTTCCAGATTTACGGTGTTCACAATGGAATCAAGACCGAAAGGTTGCGATATCCATAGTACCGAGCCTAAAGGTAACAATTCAATATGGCTTCTGGATACTAAAACAAACAAAGGTTAATGAAAAAGAACAAGGTCAGCAGAAAAACCGTGCTCTTGCAAACATCCGAACCAAGTTATCTTGGAATCCCGACATGCCATCAAACATCCATGAATCGGTTTTAATTTACGAACGAGAATAACTAGCCTATATTGCAGCTGGCAAACACGTAGTGTTAATCAGCTTTTGGTTTCCAAAGATCTGGTCAAATCAAACGGTTATTTTCTCGTAGTGTTAGTCAGGTTTTGGTTTACCAAAAACTGGTCAAAAAGGTTATTTCTCGTAGTGTTAGTCAGGTTTTGGTTTACCAAAAACTGGTCAAAAAGGTTATTTCTCGTAGTGTTAGTCAGGTTTTGGTTTACCAAAGACTGGTCAAAAGGGTTATTTCTCGTAGTGTTAGTCAGGTTTTGGTTTACCAAAGACTGGTCAAAAAGGTTATTTCTCGTAGTGTTAGTCAGGTTTTGGTTTACCAAAGACTGGTCAAAAAGGTTATTTCTCGTAGTGTTAGTCCGGTTTTGGTTTACCAAAGACTGGTCAAAAAGGTTATTTCTCGTAGTGTTAGTCAGGTTTTGGTTTACCAAAAACTGGTCAAAAAGGTTATTTTCTAACGGATGGTCTGGTTTATACAGATGGATTAGTAAGTCTGGGTTAGCGAAGTGCGTGGGCATGAGCAGATAAAAAAAATCGCAGAGAAGACTAGAGATTTGCCCACTGACAACCAGCAGTCTCATTGCGGAGACCATGGCTGTAACAAGGGCGATGGCCTGGGTGAGTACTCAAGGGTTCACATTCATAAGAACTGCGTGATTCAACTCAGGCCGGCTTCATTAAACAAGAATGGATTGTCCAAGTGAGCCTATCTTGAACGGCTTTTCTAATCTTACAGCTGTGTAAAATAAAGGACTTCTTTTGTTCCTGCCTTCAGGTGTATTGGGCACAAAGGGATAGACCAGTATTTTATAGACCAGTTGGCACTCTCGAGATGATGTGGTCAGAATCAATGGTTCTTCTTTTGTCGTTAGACTGACGCAGGGTTTCATCCCATTGTTGTGGTTTTCTGTATTGGTTTGGCGCTTCTTGGGTGGCTTGGGTGATGGATTTGTTCACCATATTTTTTTTTTCCAGGTTTGGCTACACTTTTTATCCATCTCTTTTTTAGTCTTACTTTCGCCTTCCATTTAATTATTAAAGAAGACAAATGGTAAGATAATATAAGATTAATATCTTCAGACAAATGAAAAAAAAAAAAAAAAAAAAAACTGAAAACGACTTGCTGATTTAAGGAACGAGAGAGACCAACATACATAAGTAGACGTATTCATAATTATCTAAAGTGCTTTGGTGGACTGGTCTGGGCGATCATGTCTCTCCACATCTTCAAATCTCCAAAAGCATGAACCATTTTGTGTGCTGACACCTTTCCATGCCATGATAAAAGGTTGTCAAGAATATTGTCGCATTATTTCCCCTATTGCTATTTCCAGGTGTCGCACGTTCCAGTGTCCTTGTCATAGCGTGACAAAGCAGTGCTGACTTACTGTTTTGATATTTGTGACAAGTTCTCTTAATGCCCTCGCCTCTTTTAAACATGTTACACTCTTTGGCTGTGTGGGAATTTTAAAGAATTCTTCAGAAAAACCAAATTTCTGAGGTCCCCAGAGATTGTTTAGCGTATTTGCTAATCGTTTGGGATTCACATTAAATGAATTCACAGTGAAAGCCAACCTAACCATACGAAATCGAGTGAATAATGAAACTATCAGGCAAATTGTGGGAACGACACCTTGTACTATATTCATCGAGAAACAGCAGATCAAGTGGTTTGACCATCTCGTTAGAATGCAGCAAAATCAAATACCATTACAAGCACTACATCTCAGAAGATCAACTACAAGAGCAAGACGACGGCCTCGGAAAATATGGATCGACAACATTAGTGACACTCTACGCCTTCACGGCATGACAATAACCTGTGTCAGCCAAAGTGCACTGGATCTCAAATTATTCCTCCCCACGTGGCTTAACGGCAGAAGTGGTTTATGATGATGATGATGATGATGATTGAATGAACAAATGAATCAAGAATTGACATCACTGCACTCGGGGAACTCCCATACGTGTTCAGTCCTCTTTTTTTTTTTTTTTTTAAACCAACGAAGAGTTGACATGGTAATAGTACCAGCTGCAATCTAACGAAAGTCCGCCTTTGTTTACCCTGTAAAGTTTAATATCTTTGAGAACGTCTGTACATCCCCCGCTGAATTAGTCTTTCAGTGTAGGATTACATATTTCTTCTTTTGCACTGTCCATCTTATCCTAATGTACCTTCACCCCATCTGCTTTATCGTATAGTTATCCCACCATCGTGAGGAGCGGCAGCCGCCAGTCAGTCAACATGCTCGTTACCTCACACACCTGAATGTACTGGACAGGTTTTGGTTTGACCAACGGATCAACATCTTGGCACACGAGTAGTAACCCTTAAGTACCCCGTTTTACTTCTAACTCAAGCCTGAATTCCGAAGAATCTCAGCGCAGTGCACAAGCTCCGTAGAACCGGCGAGGACCCTGCAAAGTGTTAGGAATATTTTTTTAAATCAAAATTGGATAGAAAATCAATGACATGCTCTTCATTTGGGTCTTATAAGGTGATGCAAAGTCTATGATTCACATAAATATTGTAAGACTAAGCGCAGTGCACAAGCTCCGTAGCACCGGCGAGGATCTGGAATATGTTGGGAATATTTTTAAAATCAAAATTGAATAGAAAATCAATGACATGCTCTTCATCTGGGTCTTATAAGGTGATCCAAAGTCTATGATTCACTTAAATATTGTAAAATTAAGTAAGTATTAAATCATCATTATTGTCGTGGAATGATAAGCCATTACGCATCAGTCCGTAGGACTGGTAACTTGACTTACCTGTAATCGGCACAAAATTCAAACTTGGACTCTTCCGGAAAGATATAGTCCCTTATATCTATATATATTTGCCTTTATTGGACAACATTATTATGTCTACATTTTCTAGTTACTTTGACTAAACTCCACTTTTAAATGTATATATATTGAATATATATTAGAGGAGTTATTTGAGGTTTCTTAGAAACCGATTTACTCCTTGCCCATGTATACTAGGAACTCCTTTTTTACCAACGCCTGAAGTGCGTATTGGCGGCATTCTCTCTTGCCGGCTTCCTAGCGTCCAGACGTGTCAATCGATGACTGTATACTTCATTTGAAATAGGCGATCTGGAATGTCTCGGACTTTTCATATGCTTGGGTAAGTTAATTATAGTTTACGAGTACCTAAAATGATGTCTGTTAAAGTAGTCACTGCTGTAGAGAGATCAGTATCGGCTGTGGGATCACACATAGTTCGACCGTTCTTGATCGCTAGAGAAGCGGATTCGAACGTAGACCTTCCCCTGTACAGACTAAATAGCCTATGCCCTAAATAACCCACCCATACTGGTAAACCTAATAACCTTACAAGTGTGTACTATTTAAATTAACAACAGAAGTGTGTGCATACAAAATGGGGACAGAATTAGGTCAGGACTTTGTCGGCCAGTGTGTGAGTGTGTTGACCCAGAATCATGAATGGTGGGACTTGCTTGGGGAGTCGTAAGGAATAAAGGTACTGACAGTAAATATTAGTGTCTGTGTGCGAGAGGAGGGGGGGGGGGGGGGGGGGGGAGAGTGATTATATGTGTTAGAACACTCTATATATCTTCCACTGTGAATATCTGACTTTCCTTCTCTTGCACTGAGAAGGAAAAAACAGACAGTTGAATGGGAAGGGGGGGGGGTGATAGGGGACTTGTGTCTCCTGGTCTGGGAGAGGGCATTCTGAGGAATGATGTACAGTGAGAGCAAGGGTGGAGTAGGCAGATGGGGGATGATGACTGCTGGGGGATGGGGCTTGTTCTGTCTTTCCTGTCAAGATGTTACTCTCTTGGTGATGACTAATTCTGAGTTTTTTCTTGGCAGGATGAATCCTTTGTGAGGAGCTAGCAAAAGTTTCACAGTCCAACCAACACCCACCAACCTTAAACCAACTATCAACCAACTACCCACCAGCTAACACCTGTGAAGGTTCCTGACATCATCACTATGTGGGGGCATATAACCCAAACAGCCTACCAGAGCAAGAGCTTGGTGTAGCTCAGAGACCCTGTTGTGACCTAACTGGTGGGAGAGACTTGCTGAGTACCGGTACAGTTGCTATGTCCTCTATGGTGAAGTACTCTTTCACTGCCTGATCCAGTTGAGCAGAATTATCAGAGTAAAGACAGTCGAATCATCAGGAGCTGAGGGAAGCATCATCGACGGAAAGAGAAGAAGCTAAGTTGATGCCTTATGTGCTTTATTCCTCACAGCTCCTATGTTTCCCAAGGATGAGATAGTGTCATCTCCAAGACCTGCTGTCTGTGTAGTATCTTTGTGATCTGGACATGATACCCTGAGATCTATCCTAGGAGATCTGGCATCTGTTTCACTATTATATATATATATGTCATCTTGACTACATGCATTCATTTTCATGGCTGACTTAGGTGTCTCTATTTCACCTTTTTAAGTGTTTAGCAGTTGTGTGTGTGTATGTATCTTCATTATATGTGTTAACATGGTTATGATAATGACTTATCATAACCTGGGGGCTTTCTTTAGTAAGTAGTGGGGGTGTCCAGCCAAGTGTGCCTAGGAATATTGTATTCATATACTGATATATTTTGTAGTGCCAATACTTGAGTTGCCCTACTCCAGAAATAAGTTGAGCGTATATTGGCCACCGGGAATCCCTTAGACCAATACGAGCCAAACGACTCAACATAATTATTTCTGAGTGCTGTTGGTTCTGAAGGAGAAATCCTTACATTAGGCACGCGACAGGAGTGATATGTGACAATTATCACTAGCATCATCATATTTTGGTGTTATGGGTCACATAGGGCTCGTAACCCAGTCATCCATTCAGTTTTACCCCATGCAATCCTTTATTGTCATTGATGGAATCCAGTCCAGCATCTTTGGCCTCACTCAATAACTCTCTTCTTAAGGTTTCCTTTGAACGTCATCGTTTCCTAAATCAATGTTTATGTATTTCAAAATATATTAAATACATTTCACATCTCCTTAACAGTAATAAAGTTAAAATCATCCTGGACAATTACAGTATCATCATCCTCTCGATGTGCAGTAATGTTCACCAATTCTAATCGCTGAAGGAACAAATCTTTTGCATACTGATACAAACGAACGTCTAAATGGTTCTTTTCTACAATCAGCGCCCAGTGTTTTTCAGACAACGTCACATAATTTGCCGAACGGGATCTTTTGTTGACCATCTGTTTGGTAAATTTGAGACCGTTAAATTTTTTTTCAAACAAACTTTGACTATCTTTCATGTTCTCCGTGATTCCAAAAAACGCGAAGTATGTTGCCAGATTGTCTTTGGCGCTCTGAAGCATGATTTCTTCTCGTTCTTGTTGTGTTTTGTTGGAATGCAGTGTGTAGCAGTCAGACAGGCTGAGGTTAGCCAGCATTCGTGTCTGTCTGTTGAACGCCGTGTTACTTCTGCAGAGGTGAAAAGCACAAACTGTTAGTGCTAGGAAGTGAGATTATTTTTTTACTTTGGTTTATGTGAATTATATATAAAACTGTAACCGCAGCAAAGAGAGTGCTAATCTATGAACACCCAAGGAAAATCACCACCGCCGGGGACTGGCAAGAGCTCAGTATGCCGCAGTTTTCTTTGGATGACATGCTAGATTTCCAGCCCTGAGGGGTCAGTAGCAAGAACCTGTTCTTTTGTATGGAGGCGATCTTGTAATGTCAGTAAACAAATTAGGAAGCAGTTTAGAGTGCCACATGATGATGATAAACCGCAGCAAATCGGTCAGATACAGTTAAAAACTGGAAAAACTCCTTCGGACAGATTTTGGTTATTCGTAGACTTGTGCGTATTTGAGCTTGTTCCAGAACTTATTGATCTGACTAATTTAAGTGCAGACTGTTGGTTTCCCACCCATTTCTCAGGCAGATGCATACTGACTTTCAAGAAAAAGTCAGAATTGAAATGTTGTTTACTTTTATAACTGCAACTTACACCTGGTTAGTGCAGTCGTTACAGGTACCCTAACGATAATTTCTTTGGAGTATTTGGGATACCGGGATATCAGCCTGTTGGTTCTCTATCCAGGCTGAGATCTTTCAAATTTCAAGATGGTATGGTAAACCTTTAGATTCAGCCAGAAAGGACACACTTCTGGATCAGATCAAATATAGAGCACACTGTGACCCCCCCAAAGGACAAATATATTTGTTGTATTAGAAAAGATATAAAACCGAACGAAAAGTCTATTAGCAGGCTTCAACAAGATAACAAATACAAACAAGACGTGAACACAGCGGCTATGGATCCTTCATCAGCACATACAAATCAAACACTACTACACATAGATACACAAAATCATTTAGCTGGTATCCCGAAGCAGCACGGGTCGGTGGTTTCTCTAAAAATGAATGCCTACGCGTGTCGTCGGCTGCGGGAATAAATACCGCCTGTGGAGTACCATGGGCATAAATAGGGGGTTAGAAATAAAACTGAGGGCAGTTCATTCCCTTGGAGTTTAGATGCCACTGTGTTGGGACTGCAGTCCTGATGGGGTTAAAATTCTTCGAAAACGGAAATGAGATTTCAAAAACGTTTTCCGGCTGTGAGTGATTTTTAGCCCCCCCCCCCCCCACCCCCCCCCTTTTAAAAAAATTTTTTGGGGTTGGGATTTCTTTTTTTTTTATTTGTTGCATTTTTTTTAATAAGAAAAAACCCCTGAAAATGTATCGGTAGCACTTTGAGGATAGGGGAAAACTCCCCATCAGCCTCAATGGGCACCGGAAGGGACAAGAAAAAGGAAAACAAAATAGATTTTTAAAAAATTAGGGGAAA